TTGCTAACTTGCAATACTTATCATAATTATCATGCTCCCACTAACATGATGATTATTAGCATAACACTTATGCTCCCACTAGCTTTGACATGTACTCAGAAATCAGCTGAAACTTCTAGAAATCAATACTTTATTGACTTTCTTACCAAAGTTCAGATTTCTGACACTTGATTGTTTTGATAGAACTTTATCAAAATCATACACCTTCCCTTAGATAGCACACTCGTGTGTCTACACAATTATGAAGAGGGATGCCGTAATCATATTGGTTAGACCTTTTTGCCACTTCTCACAAGTCCAGTTTAGTGTGCCGATAAACCACACACGCTCCACTAACGACTTTGAGAATGCAAATATCACAATTGCTATCTAACTAAAATCTACTTAGTGAAAGTGTTTCCTCACCATCATTTTCATGAATCGGAGAGAAACCTTATGACACTTAGATTTATTGGTGTATGTGTTCTTATCCATGTGAATTGTCAAAACCATAGTCACAAGACAAGGATAATGACAAATCCAAACTCATATGGACTGAACTCAATCTTAATTTCTTGCCACCTGGCAGCTCAAGGGTCTGCCATTGCTTCCAAGTTGTTGTGCAACCAATTGAGAACTCTAAGAACTCAACTTTAACTGGAATGGGCACAGACTATGTCAACACGATAGGTTATAAACCTCAAGTCATGTGCTAGTGAAGAACTTTAGGTTTTATTCTTGATTAGATCTTGATACTTTCAAGACCTTTAAGACTCCCACTGTCCTCTTGACCAATAAGACTCTCTTGTCAAATATTCAAGGGATAGTGCGGATTCTTTATCAAGACAAACGCTTCACACAATTGGCCTGAGTTGGTCTTTGTTTTATCCAAAAGATCACAACTTACCAATTTCAAATGTACAAGAGTAGAAAACTTTTACTCTTACATTTGACAAGTGTTTTAAACCTTCTTTGAGACATGTCACTCAAGTCACAATCTTGGAGTATGACTCTAAGACTTGTATTGGAACGAAGTATGACTCATCTTCTTGATTTAACCATTTCAACAATTCAAGATCCCTTCTTCTTAGTCATAAGAATGCACTAAGACTTCCTTAGAGAACTAATTTTGATATGGTTTCTTAATCATTAAGATGATCACAAAACTGATACTAAAGTACTCTCCCATTTTTTCAGATTTGAGAAACTTTTATCTTTCTGCCTAAGTTGATTCTTCTTATTCGCTCTGCCTTACATTGGAACCTTTTCCAATGTCTCAGAGTTACACTTAAGCATGTAAGTATAATCATATTTACTGAGCTTTAGTAAACTATGATGAATAGTCTTATTAATCTTTTGTGGTGGACTTAATCAGTGCACATGACTATGTACTCGATCCCTTAGTCCATTACTTGACTCACACATCCATGTGAATAAGTAATTAGTCTTAATCACATCCAATACTTGAAAGTTCTCATTCATCATGCCATACACCTTGCATGATTCCAAGTTCCGGTCCAATTGAGACTTGGGTGATGAGAATCTTTCCTTTATTTGATAAATTTAGACATTACCACAAATGAAAGAATCAATTTCATACTTCCACTCTTGCTATTAATGGAATCATATAAGCAACAATTTTTCCTCAAATGCCATTGTAAGGATATTTTAAAATAACTAAAATAAAAAAATTTCTTTTATTTTAAAACTATGCGGAAAAACTTATCCTTACAATCCATATGAAAACCTGTTGTTATCTATTCCTAAGCAATATCTCATAACTCCTAAGAAGTAGCTCAAGAATCCGATTTTCAAACTACGCGATAGAAATCCATCTATGCGATCAGATTCAGCATATTCTTTCTTTAAGTTCCTTTACTTTTCTTTGATTCTTAAAACATTACCATGTGACCCAGTCACATCATGTATCAGGAATCTCATAATAGAAACTTAACAGAGTTAGATTAGTGGACTTTACCTGAAGTAGAGTCAAACTTATTGACTTTAACATCCTTAGGTAAACTTGGCAGCTTCGCAACCAATGCCCCTTCCTTTGGCAATATAAACATATGGACCCTTTGATAATGGTACATGAGACTATCACAGACTTAGACTTTTCTCTTTACCATTTGGTCAACCGAGTTGACTATGGCCGATCCCTTTCCATTGGGAAGAGAATGCTTTTCTGGATTTCCTGTGTCACTATTGTCAATGTCCATCAAGTTTTGAGGAAGTTGATCTTAACAAATAGATAAGATCATTAAGGGTCTTGTCATAGTCTGTTTCATAGGTGTTCCAAAAGAACTCACTATGTGACTTAGAAAGTAGTTGAACCACCAACTTTCTCAAGACTTTGACACCCTTCTCTCCCGGCTTGTCAATATGTGACTACATCTCCAAGATGTGATCACACCTAGACCTTGCCTTGCCAATGGGGCTTGAGTGATCTTAAACTTTTCAAGAACTTGTGGGTTAGGGAGAATAATTGGAGGAGGAGAAAGAAGTATGATATCCATGGACATCATCTTCATTAGGAATGCTTGTTTCAAGAGATTTGGGAAGATCATAAATGTCTAAAACAGACATGTTTTGGGAGATATTCAAGATAGTTGATCTTAAAGTCCTTAATATGACACCCAATATGAAATATTAAGGCTAGGACCCAACAAACTATTTTATAACTTAGAAGAGGTATGCCGTAATCCAAGCTATAAAACAATTTGAAGGTAGGTGAATGACGATTCACCAATTTCCACCAAGATAAACGAAATGTATTATTAGGTTTTAATTGGATTTGAAATTCCTAGATCTTTGAGATTCATTGAACTGTTCAATGGCATGTTTCAATCTCGAGTGTGCCCTTCAGGTTTTGTGACTGGGATGCCGAGGATCACAAAACAAGGTGTGAAGTAACCATGCAAATTACTTGGTACCCTTAAGTGTTTACCCCTAATCGATGTGCCGGTTAACCACACACGCTCCATCGATACTATGATAAACATTAAGTTACCCTTTGCCTACCTTGTTAAATACGAGTTAGTGTGCCGGTTAACCACACACGCTCCACTAACCGACTTAAACAAAGTGCAAAGTGTAATTTCATGGATTAGCACCTTATTCACATTTTCCTAAGTAACTAAGATTGGGAATTATTAAGAGTTTAGTTACTTAGTATTTATCATTAATACTTTTAATGAAGGGAGAATTATAGTCCTGTCAAACCCGTTCGGCTAACGACCCTCCACCAGTCAAGCAAGCGGTGGGTGAGAGTGGACACCCATTAAGTTTCCATTTTATAGGCAACAACCTTATACCCACCTTATAGACCGGCTTCGTGAATGAGGCGTACTAGCGGTAAGACCGACTTTACTCTTATACATGTATATATTATTAAGTTATAATATTATAAAGTATAAGGGTTGAATTTTAACTTTTAAAATTCTAAGGGCTAACTTGGAATTAAAGTATTCATAAGAGAAAACTTTACAAATTCCAAAACTTGAGGGCAAGTTTTGAAACTATTCAAAACTAATTAATTCCATAACTTATGTATTTAAAGTAGTTTTAATCCAAAAAATCTTCAAGTTCCATAACTTGAGGACAAATTATGGAAGACTTTAAACTAATAAAGAATTAACTTTTTCTTTATTTTATAACTTATGGAATTAATTAAGGTTACATTATTTTTTTTATATTTATTTAATGAAGAGACTCTTGGTCCTCCATAACTTGAGGACAAATTATGGAGTCATAACTCCAATTAATTAGAACTAGACTCTTCATTTTTTGTAACCTTTGCCAATTTTATGAGTTTTATGAGTCTTTAATGTGACTCTTCATGTAACTTGAGGACAAGTTACACAAACACATTTTATACTCAACTCTTAGATTAAAATGGATTGAAAACAACTATTTCATTCAACTTTTCTATTAATCTAAGAAACTCATAAGAACAAGATAATTCAAATCAAACTTTTTCATGTAATTAGTCTAACCTTTAAACTAATACAAAACATGAATCTATTGACAAGTATCTTTGAAATTGGATTAGCATGAACATTACCACAACAAAAACAAGTTTATAAGTTCAAAAACAACTTAGGGTAATGTTCCTAGTCCATTTCTAGCCAAAAAACTCGAAAATATGTTGTCTGGGGTCCAACTCGTCGAGTGCATGAACACAACTCGGCGAGTTGGATGCATTCTTGGACTCGTCGAGTCCCTTCATGGACTCGGCGAGTCTGCTGGGCTGACAGCACCAATTTCGATTTTTCAGCTTCTATTGCTGGTATAACAAGAAAACAAGCCTAGGCTCTGATACCACTGTTGGGTTATGAGCATTCTAACACTCCTAAGTGTACATGCAACCCTAAATACCTTGTATCTATGTTTTCTCTATTATACATGCAAATAAGAACATCCAAGGTATTATCCTAATCTAGCATACAAAACTATCAATATAACAAGATAGAATACATACCTCTTTGATGTAGAATGTCTTCATGTAGCTTGAGTGCCTAGTCCCCTAAGTGTGACACCTCAAATGGTTCACACAACACCAAATACACTTGGAATAACTTGAGAGAATTCTACACTTCATGAAATCGGCTAGCCCTTTCTTACTCTCACTAGTGGTCGATTTTCCTCAAGAATAAGATGCTTATATAGTTATACAATTAGGGTAAACTCTAATTGTCATGACTTTCCATTTCCTTGGATCCATGGGTTCAAATATACCATGGAGCATCCATGGAGCATCATATGGGTTTTGGCCCAACTAGATAATCCATGGAGCATTAGCCCACTATACAAGTATGGATGATTTACACAATCAACCCATATATTTAATTAGTCTTCTTTTGATCACTTAATTAATCCTAGATTAATTCTTGATCAATACTAATTAAATAATCTTATTATTCTTATTATTAATATACTAGAACTTATAACATATTAATAACCATAAGTGTCTTATTTCTCTCATTATAGTCTATCCAAGTGCATGATGCCATGCAACCCAAATGGACAATGCCGGGTCGGGTCAAGTCTTACCAATTATAGTTATGGACTTAGACATTAATCCAAAAGATTGCAACTCATTGATCTCAAGCTAACACTTCCTAACACTCAACCTTTGAGTGTACTAGGATTAGAAACTCTCAAACAGACCCTTAATACAGTATAGAAGTAATAGAAACCAGTCTGACTTTTGCTTTATTTGATTGACTTTACAACATCGAAATTTTAGGTTGTCACATTTACCATCCAAATCTGATTTTTTCAAGAAGTTAAAAAAGAAGGCTCATCCATCATCTCCTGCTTACACAGTTAAACCTCAAATTAGTCGAAAAGCGTTATTTTTAGACAAGTTCAAGAACCAGTTTCTCTTGAATCAAAGAAACGAAGGGCAGCAAATATGCAAAACATATTTTGAAAAGGTAGAAGAAGAAACATACTGAAGATGAAGTGATTCCAGATTCACATGTACGAAACTCTCCAGTGAGATCAAATGTCGAAACTTCTATTCCTGTTATTGTATATGTTGTTTCTTCGAAAGTTTCTAAACCATAGGAGATTATTATTACTTCACCTCCTGTGTCAACTATCGAAGCTTCGCATGATCAAGCTACTTGTCTTGCTGTTTCTTCTACCTTTGATACTTCCACCATAGACAGTTCCACTTCATTGACTCCATTTTTTTCTACTCCAATTGTTCCCCATTCACCCACATTCGATAATATTCTCAATCAACCTATTAACTCATTATTTTCCTCCCAATCCACCGATCCACTTGTTACTAACAAACAAGACAAAACCCCAACTGATGACGAGGAGAATGTGTTCAATGGAACATTTGCTGACATACAATTTGATCTGGAGGAGGAGGAAGTTCCAGATAATATGCTTCTTACAGGAAAACAGTTCAAAATCCTCAATCGAAAGCTTAATTCACTTTTACAAATTCAAGCTGATGGAGGAGGTAAAAATTCGGCATCTAGTTTGGAGGTTGATAAGCTGCTCAAACGTCAAGAAAATTGTCTTTATGATGCCATTCAAGATGCTGAACGAAACAATGAGAAAAGGGTGAAGAATCAGTTATCGACTTTTGCTTCTAATTTAAAGGAATTGAAGGTAGTAGCGAAGGAACTACACATCTTGTTTGTTCAAGATGTCAAGATTGTTCGAGAATATGTCAATTTAAAGAAGCTCTTGGTCCGAAGGTTGAGCAGATGTCTGTGGATGAAGTTAAGAGTTTTTCAAACATAAATCAACTGCTAGTTGAATTGAAGGGGATGGTGCTTAAATTGAATTTTGGTGTCCTCTTCATTGATCACTCTGGAGCTTCTTACACAGAAGTTTTCTGACCTCGAATTTGCTATTCAGAAGGAGTTAGCACCATTGTCTCAGCTGATAGGTCTCTTACCAGCAAATGCCCCACCTGTTATCACAGGGGTGTAAGGGGGACAAAGAAGAACTGTTTGTAAAGGAGAAGGTGCCTCTGGGAAAACAAGTGAAGAAGTTAAGGTGGTTGGAAAGGTTTTTGCAACTTATGCTCCTACACCAAAATCAACAATTTCGAAGGCTGAACTAGTGATAGTGAGACAACCCATACTTCTCTAATACTTTTACAAAATTATTACTCCAAACATGCTACATTCATATTCATAATATAATTTACAGAAGTCTTTATACAAACCAACTATTAAGATTTTTACAGCGTTTTATATATTACATAACTTCCTAGGAAATTCATACATTAAGTATAAAAATGTGAATATTAACTATTCTACATCTTCTAACAGTATAGGGTTAAAGATGTGACAATTTGTAACCTAAATTCGGGTAGCCTTGCACCCTATTTATATTGTACGAAGCACCTTATTACAATGGGCGTAATTAGCAAGGTACACAGTGCGTACTCTTTTACCAGTCACTACCTTGGGCGTACTCTTGCAGTACGCGGGGAGTACTAGTAAAAATGGCATGTGCTCGGTTTCCGAGCTTCGGGCGTGTCGTACGCTGGACGTATATATATGTACGCGAAGCATACCACTTGGTACGCTGGGCGTTCTTCCAGCCTCAAAGTTTGTGCCTAAAACTTCAAAATTTCATATCATTTACATACGAGCTCTGGTTTTGACGTTCTTTATAACCACACGTAGGTGAAATTATACTCTACCACTTTCGTTTAGACTCCGTCAGCTAATTTTGAATTTATATTTAAAATTATATTTTTAACAGGCCGGGACAGGAAAAGTTTGTTAAAAATTCATAACTTCTTCATCTGACGTTCGTTTTATTTTGTCTTCTGGTAATTCCACAAAGTATGTTTGCTTACCAATACTCTAGATAATTTTGAAAGGTCCAAAAAATCTAGGACTCAATTTTCCTTTCTTCCCAAATCGCATAATGCCTTTCCATGGTGATACCTTCAGCATTACAAAATCACCCAACTGGAATTCTATGGGTCGTCTTCTTGTTTCTACATAGGACTTCTATCAATCATGGGCCGCTTTCATTCTTTCTCGTACAATTTGGATATTGTTAGTGGTGTCTTGAATCATTTCAGGGCCTCCAAGAATTTTTTTTCCTACATCATGCCAACATAGTGGAGTACGACATTTACGACCATATAATGCTTCATATGGTGGTATTGTGATTGAAGTGTGATGGCTATTATTATATGAAAATTCAACAAGAGGTAAGTACTTGTCCCTGTTACCACCAAATTCCAGGACACATGCACGAAGCATATCTTCCACTTTTTGGATTGTGCTCTCCTTCTGACCATCTGTTTGGGGATGATAAGTTGTGTTGAGAGCAATCTGAGATCCTAATTCACATTGCATACTTGCCCAAAAATGAGAAGTCAAGCGAGTATCACGATCGCAAATAATCTTTAGTGGCACGCCATGTCTCGCAACAATTTCATCCAAGTATACATGTGCGTATTTCTCCATTAGAATTATTTCATGCATGGCAAAAAATGTGCACTCTTAGTTAGTCAGTCGAAAATTACCCACATGCTGTCATTTTGTCTTGTAGTCTTTGGCAACTTGGTAATAAAATCCATGGACAACTCCTCACATTTCCACATGGTAACATTAATACTTTCTCGACTCCCGTATGGATTTTGGTGTTCCGCTTTGACTTGTAAGCATACTAACCATTCCTGCACGTATCTTCCAATGTCTCTCTTTAATCCAGGTCACCAATAATCAGCCCGTACATCAAAGTACATTTTACTTGTACTAGGATAAATTGATAGGTTAAATTTATGGGCTTCATCTAAAATCGTCTGTCTTAATCCACCAATCTTCAGAATCCATAGCCGATTTCAGTCCACGTGGATCATCAAGTAAAATATCAGCATAATGTACCATCCCTTCCTTCTTCACATTTTCTGGCTTTAAGGCCTCTACTTACCATTTCATTAGTTCATCAACAATAGTGAACTTTACTATAGTGTGAGTAATAACATAACACATGCTATTATGATAAACCTTCCTACTAAGTGCATCAACAACTACATTCGCCTTTCTAGGATGATACAGGATTTCATAAGCATAGTCTTTGATCGGCCCCATGGCTCTCTATTGTCTCATATTCAAAGTTTGTTGGCTGAATATATACTTGAGACTGTTGTGGTTAGTAAACAATTGGCATTTTGTACCAAAAAGATAATTCCTTTAAAGTTTTAGTAAAAATACTAATGCAACGAGTTCAAGGTCATGGGTGTGATAATTTTTTTCATATTCTTTCAGTTGTCTTCAGGCATAGGCTATTACTCTACCACACTGCATCAACACACAAATGAGTCCCAACCTTGAAGTATCGTTATACACGGAAAAAAATCATTATTACCTTCTGGGAGTGGTAATATTGGAGCATGAGTTAAAAGATATTTTAGAGATAAGAAAGCTTTTTCTTGGGTTTCACCCCATTCGAACTTTGTTTCCTTTCGTGTAAGACTCGTGAGAGGTACAACTATATTCAAAAATGTTTAATGAATCTCTGTTAATATCCCGCGAAACCCAAGAAACTGCAAATTTCAAAAGCATTACGGGGCGCTTCCCAATTCTGAATGGCTTCAATTTTGGTAGGATCTACTGATATACCATCACCAGTAATCACATGGACGAAAAATTGAATTTAAACTAGCCAAAATTCACATTTGGAGAATTTAGCATATAGTTTATCCTTTTAAAGAAGTTCTAATATTTCACGAATGTGATTGGCATGATCAGCTTCAGACATGGAATGGATTAGAATATCATCAATGAATACGATGATAGATTTATCGAGCATTGGGCAGCATACCCGATTCATCATATCCATGAATACAATAGGAGCATTTTTCAATCTGAATAGCTGACAAGGAATTCATAATGCCCATAGCGAGTATGGAAAGCAGTCTTTGGTACATCCTACTCATGTACTTTCAACTAATGATAGCCAGACCTCAAATCAATCTTCCAGATAATTTATACTTGTTCTTGATAGTTACCTTATTTAGCTCGCGAAAAACAATACACATTCACATCGATCCATCTTTCTTCTTGACAAATAATACTGGAGCACCCTAAGAAAAGGTACTCAGTCGAATAAAGCCTTTATCAAGTAATTCCTGCAGTTGGTTCATTATTTTCTTCATCTCAGCTGGCGCAAGACGATAAGGAGTCTTTGCAATTGCAGTAGCACCAGGTACAATATCAATTCGGAATTCTACTTGCCTATCTAGAGGTAGTCCAGGCAATTCTTTGGGGAAAACATCAGGATATTCATTAACAATGGGAATATCATTTACCGTTTTCTTCCCCTCTTTTGAGATATCAACTGTATAGACCAGATAAGTAGAACACCCCATTGATATAAATTTTCGAGCTTTTAGGAAAGAGATTATTTTAAATATTTTAAGTCTTTGTTCACTGTAGACATAAATAGGATTCTCCCCTTCAACAGGAATGTGTACTATCTTTTCATAGCACAAGAGTTCTGCACAGTTCTTTGACAACCAATCAATGTCGAGAATAATATCAATGTTGGGCAAGGAGATAGGAATTAGGTTAGCAAGAAAATTATAACCTTCAATTTCTATGAAACAATCCCTATAGACTTTATCAGCAAGTAATGATATACTTCCCACAATATCTATATTAAATGGTTGTGGGAGTGTATAACAAGCAATTTGAAAGCAATGCGCAAATTCATGAGACACAAAAGAATCTGTGGAACCAGAATAAAATAAGATATGAGCACCTCTAGAGTTGACTCAAAATGTACCAGTGACAACATTCGGGTCTTCACCTGCCTCCTCCATGGTAATTTGGAATGCACGACCTTTAGCTTTTGGCACCTCCTCTTTTTTAGTTGGAGTACTCGTTGGTTGTTGGATGGAATCTTGACCCCTTGCCATTTGACTAGTAATAGTAAGGCAGAAACGCTTCATGTGGCCTGTAACACCACAAGAAAATCATGTAACATTCTTCATTGGGCAAATAGACATCATGTGGCCTATTTCTCCACATCCATAACAGACCATTGATCCTATTTCTAATCAGCATTCACCCTGATGATTCTTTCCACAATTTCGATATGAGGGTGACTGAAGAGAAAAAGATTGTGACCTACTGCGGCCACGAGAGGTATTATAAGATTGTACTTGTTTGCCAGGATTAGATCGAAAAGATTGAGCTGATGGAATATAGGAAATAGGAACAATTTAATCAATATGTGGATGCTTCGGAACAGAAAGTATGGCACCATGTATTTCTATGTCATGTTCGTGATTTCGGGTATACTCAACAGCTTTAGCAAATAACAAAACATCCCGATTAACCACGAAATTGTTGATTTCATACTGTAGTCCTTCCATGGATAACTGAATTTTATCATCTTCGGTTGGCATATATTTTGTAGTAAATCGTTCTTTTTGATTGAATTGAGTTTCAAAATCATTCACAGTAATTCCTCCCTGTTTAAGCTCAAGGAATTCTTTCTCCAATCTTCTCCTCATATCTAGAGGATAGTACTTTCCTAGCAAGCGAGTTTTGAACATTTCCCAAGATAAATTCTTTTGGTCATACTTTTTGACAACTTCGAATGTTGCTTCCCACCAGACCAAGGCTTCTCCAATGAGCATTGAAGAAGCATAATTGGCCTTGTCTTCCTTAACCACACGAGAGGTACGAAATAGTTTTTTTGTGTGCTGGATCCATGTAAGAACAACAATGGGATTAAGAACACCTCAAAACTCCGTAGCACCA